AAAAAGTTAATAGGTCTTTTATGGGAATAGGTATAAAAATTTACAATAAGATACCAAAGGATATGTTGGAATTACCCTTAAATAAATTCAAAACATCTGTAAAATCATATTTACTGAGCAAAGCCTATTACTCACTAAACGATTACTTGAATGACGAGTGTGCATGGCAATAGTTGTTCATGCACTGAATTTTCATTTAATGTTAGACATAGACACCTATATAAATATACATTGTAAATAAACTAATATTTTAATTCAATTGAGTTTCTTGCCAGTTCTTCTCAATTGGATCTATATACCGAACTGGACGGTAGGGAAAATATAAAATTATAATGTAAAAATTTGACGTTCATAAGCGGCTAAAATGTCCTACATGAATAAATGATTTTTGAATTTGAATTTGAATTTGAATTAAATGTGATAGTATCAAGCATATGACTAGCTTACCATACGATAGCAAGTAGTGACCATTTACCTGTACCAATATAAGTATTGATAAGAAGTTATGATTTAATTGATGGTGTTGATTAATGGCAGTTGATGAAATTACAGATTTCAAATTTAATAATCATTTGCTTTTTTATATAATATCAGACTAGGTTCGCTATATGAGATTATTAAAAGTCTATTTGCGTACAGCATTTAGTCATGATGTCACTATTCCAATTTCGTCTCTAGAGCGAAATACGAATGTAAAGTAAACTCGAGGCCAAAATAGACTAATACTCGTATTTTCCTCTTATGATAAGAGATCCGTGCTCAGTTGTGGAACAATTACGGGATAGTGTACAATAGAAATCCGCTTTAATAAAGTTAAGTTATAGATAAGAAGTTTATGTACTATTTATTTATTGGACTTTAATAATTCTAGACAATGTACGTAGGTACTATGTCTATAAATAATCTAAATACAATACTATATAGTCTAAAAATAATATGTAAATATTATCTCGATTATTTTAGTATCTTAATTTTATTATAATGACAAAATCTATTTATTCTTTATTTCCTCCTACACAAAGGTTGTCTGGAAGAGATTGCTTAGCAATAAGACCGTCTTTTGTACTACACTATACTTATTGAAAATTCTTCAACAAGTCCTGTAATATTGATGGAATAAAAAATAAAAGAAAAATAAAATAAGAAAGAAAACGTTTAGTTTTCCGTTGTTGATGTTAATATTATTTATTTTAATATTTAAACTCAAAACAAAATTAATAATATTTTACATACACATTTCGATTTAATCACTACATTTTATGCATTGTGTTAATAGATTAATTTTTATTTACTTACATACTTGTCTAGTGTTTTATTCGTATTTGATTTTATACTTATTTTAGAGGATACATGTAAAATTCTTTTGAATATATTAAATAACTTAGTAAATATATTATAGATATATATTATATATATATATATATATATATATATATATATATATATATATATATATATATATATATACCATATATATATATACATATATATATATATATATATATATATATATATATATATATCATACACAAATATATGATTACATTAGACAACAACAGAGTCCCTCTTAAACATCGGAGACCTATGTTCAGCAAGGGACAGTCAATGGTTTTTTTTTGATGGGTGAAAATGGAATGGCAACCTCGCCTGCGCTAACGGGATACGCTGACGTAGCACCAGTGAAGGGTCATCGATGAGAATGAAAACAGGCCAATTAGCCCATCATGATGAATTCATCAGGAATTAACCATGATAGTTTCCAGGGGGAATAACGAGGACGTCGACCTGGTTGGGTATATTGCTAGCAATGGCATTTTTAGTCTCCATTACTAACAATTCCTTTCCCCCCAACAGTCAATGGTTGATATGCTGATGATGATGAAAATCGGTACCGCTTCGATATTAATATACTCGTATTCCTACTATGGAAGCAGATGGCCGATAAAAAGGTCATTATCACTCATTTCGGTATTACTTATAATTTCTTTGCTCTTTATTTTGATATTATATTAACCGATATTTAATATACTCGTTAATGGACCTAAATATAGATATTGTAAATACGATATATAAATATTAAGGTATATTTATTTTAACGGGTGAGAATAGAATGGTAACCCCGCCTACGCTATCGGTATACGCTGGCGAAGCACCAATGAGGGATGATAGATGATGATGAAAGCAGGTCAGTTAGCCAATCGTGATGAATTCCGCTGGAATTAACCACGGGGGTTTCCAGGAGGAATCGCGTGGAAGTCGACCTGATGAGGTGTATTGTTGGCAATGGGTCAGTTAGACCCCATTAACCACTAACAATCCCTTTTCCCCATTGAGATATATAACCCACCTCTATTTTACATTACTTTTTTGGCAGTCGGGTAAAAATAAGTTTGAAATTTAATATTATTATTAGTTGTATGAGGATAAGTCCTCTGATATTAACAGTTGCAAGGCTGCCCTCATGTTACAAGGCTTCTAACGTGACTTACAGAATAAAAATTTTACATGCCCTTAGATGCACAAAGCAAGTGACAATCATTAGTTATAACCTTGATTAATATTTATCAGTATATAGGTAATAATTAAATAATAAATGCTAACTACAAACACTTATAAAGTATCTAGTTTCTAATTGTTTAGAATCATACAATAATGTCAAGATCATATACTTCTAGATAGAGCACTGAGTGTCGAAAAACGATTAGCCAATAATATTTTTTGCATCACGAATATATTTTTAAAAACAAAGTGCGCCATTTTTCGGTAACTCAATTAAAAAGTTAGTCCAGATGAACTTTTTTTTAATATAAATTGATAACTTATGTAATATTGTATACAAATTAAAGTATATATAAAAATCAAGACATATACATATTTCAAGTGTAATCTTAGTATTAGATCCAATTATTATTAAGTAAAGACGAGTATTATTTTGAAATGAAATGTTTTATTTATTCCGTTCTTTCAAATATAGACTTGAGAATATTTTTATTTTTCACTTTTTAATTAACTATACAATAGATATTTCTGTCACTTACTAAGTTATTACTATTTTATGGTATTTCTATTTAGCTATACAACAAGGAATAGTCTAATGTGTTCTTAGCGAGGGGAAAAAAGATTGTTAACAATAGAGTCATATAGTCCCATTCCTAGCAATCAGGTGAGCTATCAGGTTAGCTATCAGGTTGACCTCCACATGGTTCCTTTTTGTTCCAACTAATGTGGTTAATTATTGTTGAATTCGTCACGATAGGCCAATTGACATGCTTCTATCTCACTGGTGCATCAGTGTATACCGATAACATACGTGAGGTTACTATTTAATTTTCACGCATTATAAAAATAGTGGTAAATCGTTGCCATTGAGATTAATATTTGAATGTGTATAATCTAGAATAATTTATTCAAATTTTGTACCTAAACAACTATTACACCTAGTGTTAATAATTCACTTGAATTACCATCTGTAATAATCTACAACATGGTACATTAGCCGTTCCTAATGTACTGCGTCATATCTTTTCAAGTACTAATTTAAGTCTATGTACAATGCATGCATTACATATAATAACACTAATAGCAATTTATTTCTGCTACGTTGTCATGGAAAATAGCTGAATAGATTTAATTTTATAATTGGGTAAATATTTATTAACTTAAAAACTGTTGTGTATTTTATCAAAATTGATCTAGTTTCTTATTCAATGTTTTTCATTTAATTTGTGAAGGGACTTTTATAATACTTATACCTAAGTAGACACTAGCAAAGGGTTCTCCAAAATATTTTATATATAAATATAATATGAACTTATACATTTCTAAAAAACAGCAAAAGCTATAGAAAATTAAAATTAAAAAAAAATAATATAAAAAGTAGCTCTGTCCATCTGGTTTTTTATCTGGATTCAAGATACAAAAATAACAAATTTGATCGAAATTTGTTAGTTTTGTATTTTTGTATTTTTTGTAATTATGGAAAAAGATATGAACTATTAATCGCATTTTTTTCAAATACATATACATTATAGATACGTAAATCAATATAGTCATATATATACATGAATACAAATGTTAGTATTGAGCGGGAATCAAACCTGCAACCTTTGGAAGGTGAGAAAATATTTTTAATTGCTACTAATATGACGTTTGTTCTATTTCTTCTATCTATAAACGGAGAAGGAAGTATTAATCTAATGACAGTATAATGGTCGACTATTGTGATTAACAATGTGGCGAGCCTTAATTGCTGTTAATACGAGAGTGCCTGTCAGATAGTGAACGCAAATGACGCGGCAATGCTAATTATTGCTCGCTGTTTACAGAACAATCCTGAATTCCAATTTCGAAATTCACCTAGCAAATATTTTAATATTTCGTGAAATGAGTTCGATTTTTTAAATAATAGCAAATATTTTTTTATTGGTAATATTTAAATAATGATAATGATAAATCGTGACATAGGTTATATACTTGTACCTACTAAAAAAATTTATGACTTGTTTCATTAATAAAATTAATTGTTTTTCTTCAAACGCTGCCATGTCATCAGTGTAGTAATTCATAGTTTATAATATACATGATATTGTTCACGTTTATTTGCAATTCTGTAAAAAAATTTCAATGTAATATATCAACGATAAATCTTAAATTTATACTTCTACAGCTATATTAATATTATAAAAAGGATTGTTTGTAATGAATAAACTCAAACAAAAACTACCCAATCGATTTTCAAAAATTCTTTCAAATATAGAAAGTTACATTATTAACAAGTAACCAAGGTCAAATATTATTTGAAAAAAATAGAGATTCATACTTAGAAAATTACAATAATGGGTTGCATTATTATAAATTAAAGTACCAAAAATTTGTTTATCTAACTGATATAAAATACTAATTTATCTTTTTATCTATCTACCTGTACGAAGCCGAGGCGCATCGCCAGTTATTCAGTTATATTTAACTAATATTTAATAATATTTGTTTTTATATTTCAGATGGCGGCAAAGTATTGTATTCTGCTTGTCGCGCTGACAGTACTTTCAGTCAGTGCTGCACCAAGTGAAGAAAAGAAACCAGAAGAATTAGTTAATATCGAACAAACAAATGAAAACCCAAATAGTAAAGCTTTACCCTTCATAGACGAAAAAGATACCCAGCAAAACCAACGGCAGAAAAGATGGTACAACTTTTATGGTTTTTCATCATTAAACCCAACATTATATCCAAGTTATGGAAAAAGAGATGACTCTTTCAACTCTGGGTACGGCTCCGAGGATCCTCTCGTAGAAATTCACAGGAGATTGCAAGTGCTGAGCGATGTAGTTAGGCAGCCGGCACCATCATTGCCCTCGTTTGCTCCAAATCATTTCCCATTTTATCTTCCTGTTTTCTATATACCACAAGTAGGATGCGATTGCTCTACTACACAAGATGAAAATATACCAACTAATACTCCTGACAATAAAAACAATACATCACCAAATATAGAAAACAGATTCCCAGAGATGGACGATGAGAGACAAAATTGGGGAGTTGTTAACGAAACTGGACAAGCTACTGATAACCAAGAAGAAGATGATGATGATGGTGCAAGGCCTATATCTTTTGAGCCTATTAAACCTGATAGGCCAATGGATAGACCAGCCCCACCTGTTGAACATGGTAGTAGTCAAGGCACTGTAAACGATTCAGTCACGACAACAACTAGACCGTTTGAGAATCCGACTACGCTAAATCCAGTACAGAATCCATCAACTGTGAATCCTTTTCCAGAAGCCCCTAGTGCATGTGATGGTGCAGTGTTATCTTGCTGTCATCAACTTCAGGTGACTTATGATTGTTTTGCTTTACAAGGGTGCCCCGATCCAACGGCTTATGGAAATCCTTGTGATTCCAACGTCATACTCAGAGTGATCGATAGATTCCAGAGGTTCTATGGACAAAGAACTGGATAAATTGTAGAATTAAGATAGTGAAATTACATATACGAGATTAATAACTATCATAGCTGCCAGAATTTAATTTATTTGTGTTGTATTATTGTTTAAATGCCTCGCTTTCGTAATTTTAAACTTATATATTTATATTATTTATAAATGTACATATAATTACTGTATTACTAAATAGTGAAGTAAATTACAATAAAAAGAAAACAATTATCTACAATGTATTACAAGTATAATTAATAAAGCAACCTCTTATTTTGCATCCCACAACTTGTTAGGTTCAGAAGGAGGGACTGATTTCAAGATTTGGTAAAAAGGTTAGTTATAATGATGCGTTAGGAAATATTAAGGAAGCATTACTATAGCTATAAAGAATATTTTAATTTCACGTTTTTGATGTTATTGTATTTGTGTATTATCGCATAGGATTTGTACTGTCTTCTATAAATACGGAGTTTTATAACTCCTACTTATATGAAAGAAAATAAATATAATTTAAAAACCATTCTAGAATAATCTTCACTATTAATTACATAAAGATCATTTGGGATCATGAATAAATTGTTTTGTTGTGTGCATGTGTGTTAAGTAGCCAGTCCAGGCTATTTCATAAAAAAGAACATCTTATATAATATTAATTAATATTTTTCCTGTTATAAATTTAAGATTGTATTAAGTAAATATTTATTTATTTATTATTTTGCAAACGAAAAAATATTTATACAGAGCAGACTTAATACCTGTTTAAGGTAAAACACCGCAGTGGAAGCGTTTTATAAGGGAAAGATTCTGTCTGTCGAGGAGGACTAACCTGGCATCGGCTTCGTGAGTTTTTCTGCTGTAGGTAATCGGTTATTCCTCAACTCCTATATGCACGCACACACAAATTTTTACAGGTTCTTATGGGCACATACAGTTTAAAACACACAAATTACATTTGTTTTATAGGAGCAAGCGTCCGTATAAACGCCTCAATTCTGTCTTTTTTATTCGTTAAATAAAGTGGGAGAAAAATAATAATGACGGACTCCAATATTGTAAACAATCTCTGTTTTATTACAAAGGGATTAAGGCTTTATTTTGAACAATACCATTAGGCATTCTATATAGTATATAATTACATAAATATGCAAGTAAGGGTCCTATAGATGTACATAGTGTTATATATATTATAATTTAATAAGAAGTTACCGTCCTACAAAAAAAATTACAACAGGCCTTTATATAATTTTGCTAAGTGTTACCTATTTAGAAATAATATTTTAGTGTATCTTGTTTAATTAATTCTTGTATTATTAGTTTATAAAATAAATAAGGATCGGTGATCTCGTACTGCGAAAAAGAACAAATCATAGTGGCCTACTATACTTTAAGCTGATAAATTGATCGAAAATTATTCAATTACTCAGCTTTTCTAGATAAAGTACATGCATTTCTTGTATCCACGTTTTTTGTAGCAGTACCTGGATTTTATGAAATTGACATACATTTTAAGAAATTGATATCTGTTACAAAGATGGAGAATATTATGCTTAATACATATAACATAAAAATAAAAGTGTTATGACATCAATAACAGAATACATTTATTGCCTCATACAATTATTTCTACATTAATAATAAATTAATGACTTCATCTATCGCACTGCGCCATATTAAAACTAAACACCAGATATTACTTTGAGATATTTGGACACTTTTTGATAGTAATACTATTATCATAGTATGATAAAAAACGCCAAAACAATGTTTTCGTTTCCATTTCTTTTTAAGGTAAATTTCACTGTGATTTCAAATTAAAATTATATTATAAATAAAAGATGTAAATTCATTCATTACGTGTAGTAACACATGTTGATAAGAAAAATGAAAATGACTTTTTAAGAGACAACACAAGATAAAATTTCAAATATAGGTGTACATATACCTGTTAAATTTTTTTCTATAGTTTGTTGTTTGTATAATGATTAGCTGTATAATTTACTTGCCTTTTCGTGACCTTGGCTAAAGAATAATCATAATTATTTATTGTTGTAAAGTTCAAACAAAAGGCCATGAGATGTTCTTGTCACGAATTGATGTACTCAATTGTATTTCGACTAGACTAGAATAGAACGTTGGCTAGATAACTATAGTTTTATGTAGAACAGAATGCATCTGTCTATAAATATAAATAGAGATCTATTTTCAGAAATTCTAGATGGTTGTTATCTCTGTGTGCGATAATTTTTACAACTCAGTTCTAAGTTACCTGGAGGCTACATACGTAGTAGGTACTTTATAAAATAGATTAAAAGTCTATGGCTAGTCTAGTGTATTTAATATCTATGTAATTAATTTTCTTGGGTTGTAAACATAAATATATTTGAAATCAATTCATATCATTATATTTATAGATATGTATAATGCAGATTTTTAGATGCATTAAAATTATTCTGTTATTTCTTAAATGTATTAGTACAATCTATCAATAAAATATTATATTATACTGTAATATACATATATTTATTCATAGTTCGTAGAACCGACAATCGATGGGAAAGACAGTTTCTTGAGAAACGTCCCAATACAGGCAAATACAGTGTAGGATGACCCTCCCCCCCCACTAGATGGAGTGAAAACCTCAAATACATTCCAGGGAGTCATTAGATATAAATGGTTTAGGACCATTCCATTATAGCAGTCTATAAGGAATACCTACTTCAGTTATGGACAGATAACGTTTGATATGATAATGACATATTTATTTGTCAATTACTAATAATGAATATCAATAATGTTTTTTTTTTATTTGAGAAAATAAAAAAAATAAATTAAATTAATGTTGTAATTAAATTAATTATCAATAATTATTTTAATTATAAAATATCAAACATAAACCATGATTTTATAATAAATTTATTTATATGTATGAAGTCACTTTAAGCATAACTTAAGGCTGAAATCTCAGAGCAACTTGAGACAATAATATTACAACTCTTAGTTTTCAATACTTAATTATAATGCTTAGTTGCTACAAGTTTATTTTTTACTGTACACGAATATAGTGATAAGAGCATTTAATTTTTTAACGCGAGCCGAACTTATCTCTAAAAAGAGATTTTTACCAGAAAACCTTTTCATGTGAATTAAAATGTTATATAAAAATAAAAATAGTAACATGTTTATTTCTGATGTAAAAATTATTATTGAATTTTTCTTTATATAATTTGGAGTAGTAAAGAAACTGACGACTCAGCTTATGGGAAGAAGCAGTAATTCTTGAGTAGGCACCCTGTACGTGTAAAAGCAATGTAAAACAGCCCCCTATTTGATGGAGTGACGACCTCAAATACATTACAGGGAGTCAGTGGATGCAGGTGGCTCAGGAACGTTCTTTAGTTTATGAAGGAGGCCTATCTTTAGCAGTGGGCGGATAATGGCAGATGTGATGATGATGATGATGATAAACGTATTAAGATTGGGTTTTATTTCCCAAGAAGTCGGAAGTCCATATTATTGGTTAGTTGTTTATAATTATTTTGTTTAATTTAACTTCGTCAATATTTAAGGATTGACTGATCGGCGCCAAAGACTGTCTCTGTCTGTAATTCGTAGCTTGAACAGTCAACACTAGGTTCTCAGCAGCGTTCGATTAATTGCCTAGTGATGCTTCGTATAGAGATGAAACACGTGTCGCAATATGTGTGTAGATTAAATAACGGTCGGAGATTAACGACTAACAGGGAAGGTCGTACAGCCTCTACTAATTGTAATAGTAATCAATCCTCAAATGTTGGCAGTCGCATGGTTGGCACTAATGGTTGCGAAATTAAACAAAATAATTCAAATTAACTAACCAGTAGCGTGTTAAGCTTCCATACACAATTATACAGTAAATCCATTACTACATACCACTTTTCAATTTATAGTGCTTAACAGCCTACAAATTTAGCTAGATTGTGATAAAAACGCAAATAAGATAGAAGTCTATGTAGAAACAATGTCTTTTGTATAAAATCTCTTTCTAATATTTTACTACAGTATTATTATAAGTATATTAACTACAATAAAAGTTAAGTTAGTTACAATAAAAGTACGTACAGTAATATTATATTAAATCCATTAAAATTCAATGATAGGATACCTTAGTAGTAATATATATGTATGAGACAAGACAATTTTCAGAAGTAGGAGGAAGATGTACTTAATTCGACCTGTCAAACTGAATTCTCAACTTTTCAAATTCAATTCTCCCTAGGTGAAATTAATTGAGTGAAGTTTCCGTTCCCTCCAAGTCCTGTATATAATCATCTAAAAATTTTCGCATTGGGAAAACCCCTCTGATCGATTGTATTTACAAATAAACGGATTGATAACAAGAAATGATTGGACTACGTCAGAGATTGGTAAATCACCAGCGTGTGATCAACGCTCCGTCTTGCAATAAAGAGGTAAACACAGCGAAATCATGCATTCGTAAACATTACAGACTCTTAGAGAGTCGTGTGTTGTGTGCCAAGGTTTTACTCGTTGTACAAAAGGAATTAAAAACGCAGTAAGTAAGATTACATTGTTAAATTACTAGCTTGACAGGATAATATTATTGGTGTTGTTAACTAAATTGTTAATTCATTTTACTCTAATGAATATTAGATTGTTAACATACATATTTTATAGGTTATAGACTAGTAACATAGAGTAATTAAACTAGTAATAATATCAACATAAACATTAAGTTATGTTTAATATTAAATCCTATTTTTGGTTTAGATAGTGAACATTTTTTTTTAACATACCGTATGGTTTTAGCATACCATAACACAAATATTTAAAAATATTGTTATTTGTTAGCACTGATTATTTTTTGTATTATTACGAGCAACTATTATTTTCATTGATTATAAACTATATAAGAACACTTATAGCACAAGTTATTTTTAATCATTATTATTATCAAGATATTGAGTTGCTGGTATTAAGGTTCAACTTATCTCTGACCCGTGAACAAGCATTATACAGTGTCCTTGTATGGGGAAAACCAGATACACTAGTTTCTGATATTCTGTGTATATATATGCAAAGCTATCATTAATTTCATTCACGTATCTCTTGTTAAATATTTTTTTTCATTTAATTTTGTTATTTTAATTTAGAAAAAGATTTTAATTTTGTAAATTCGAATAATAATTGTGAAGAAATATTTCTCAGGTAGAGAAATCAAATAAGGCATTTTTCTTATTATAAAATTATCTATATTGTATTAGGCTTAATTGTCTCTGCTATAAGGATGAGAGATAATTAAAGTAGAATACATTCAGAATGTTGTTTTCTGTTGAGAAGAACAAAATAATTTAGTAATTTAATACTGAATTGGATACAATGTCTATTACAAATTATATATTAATATATCTAATTGATATCAATCAACGTATATATTTACTGGCATTTTACAAGCAAACGAATAATAATCAAGGCTGAGTTTATTAATAATCATTATATTAACCTAAAGTATCTTGGAAATTCAAAATATATTTTGAATTATCAAAATAGCATTTTATCTAAATATGATAGGAAAAAAATATAATTAAACTGCAGTATTGTGACTTTTTGATGTAACTTCATTATATTTACTACATAATATAAACAGTATAATAAAAATATAAGTATTTTAATAATAAAACATAGTTGAAAAAGTTACATTTCCTAATTGGCTATAAAAAGTTTAGGTACCACATTTTATGATAGCGCCGAACAATTTCAAAACTGTACCAACGAATATCAAACTCAGCGTTCTAAAGCATTAACGACTAAAACTCATTTTACTATATTCCAGTTATGGCCGACACAGCAACAATTATCTTAATAACAGCGCTGTTTGCTCAAGCAATTTGCGCACCACAAGCGGTAACAGAAAAAAGTCCTAGTACATTCCAGAGCCCCGCGAATTTATCTATCGAAGAAATAACATATATAATCAAAGTGAGAAGCGGCAATGTGAACGATGCATCGCCGCCTCGGTTCCTGACGCCTTGTGCTCGAGCCATATTGGGATGCTGCAATGGATCAGTGATAAATGAAAATTGCTCAGAGTCCCTCAAGTGTGGCGCTTTTTTCTTCGATGCCAATCCTTGTGATGACAAATTTATTTCAGAGGCTTTACAAGCGGCTAGGGGATTTTACGAACAGTTTAATGTTAACGCAGTGGGAAATTAAACAGAAAGTTTTAAATGTGATTTGTGAACGTTGACGTTAATTTATGTTAAATAATGTGAATAATAAAAAATAAGCAAAGGTATTCGAAATGAATATCAGTGATATAATTTAATACTCATAATCGATGAAAAATGACTACAGGACGATATTAAAATTCATGAATTATTAAATTTATGATTTATAAATAACATTTATAGTGCTAAAACGAACATGTAATATAAAAATAATAACGTATAGACTTAAATAATAAAAAATATTATTAATAAGTAAATGTAATTTACCAGATTGTAAAATATTTAAATATTTTACGATAAAATTGTTAATAGTTTCAATTTATGTTGTTCTATTAATTAATAACAAATGTTTAGACGATCAAATAGTCCTTATGAGCTATTAATACTCAATCATGTCGAAACGGCTGAATAGTTTGTAAATGTAATAGGTGGTGAGTACAAAGATGAATTATGTTTCGGAATAAATATACATTACATACATGATAATATAATAATAAATTTTGATCCACAAGACAAAAAAAAAAAACACCAACATTAATCATAATAAAATTAGTTATTCTGATTTAAAAACCACTCTACTAAGTCGATATTGATAATTTCTATAAGGTCAGGTCTGAAAGTATCCTTTCAAATAAAACAATTTTCCAAATCAGTTTATATACAAATGAGTTATGAGGTAACAAACATAAAAAAAATTAATCGAATTGAAAACCTATTTTGAAGTCAGTTAAAAGACTCTTATCACGATCCTTGTTCGCACTAATCTCCGAAACCGCTATATCGATTTTAATGACATTTTGTAAATGTATATTATTTATGAGAACTCCCGATATAGAGATAGTTTGGTTTACCGTGACCTTCAATGGATTCGGTAAATGAAGGTAAAGGGCAAAACAAGATTTGTGGGGTCAGCTAGTTGTATGTTTTAAGAGATTACTGTTTTTTTTTTTTTTTAAATATGTTCTTCTCTCCAATAATCAATATATGGTTTTATTTCAAGTTATTGTTGTGATATATTGCACTCTATTTCCTTATTCGCATTTTACATCCTGGGAGTGAAAGGAGTGTTCACATAATTGTATTTTTGTTCCCGTTATAGGACTTATTAACATTTTTGCGCAACTGTACAAGAGTCCAATGTTGAATTTTGAATACAAAAGAGGTGAAATTAAAGAATAAAATCATGACAAGTTTATGCTTATTTATTATTTATTATTATGCTAAATTGTTTTAGTAATAAAAAAACATCGCAAAGAAGTCTGTACGGAGAAATCATACTTTTTTCACATATTCTGAAATGAAATTAATTTTACAAATTTTGTACCTTATATTTTTTCTTCTTAGAATACCTATAAAAATCATATTAACTACGTTGTAAAAATAAAATAACACAAGCAATGAAATTAGTTGAAATTTTATAAATTGAAAGCGAAATTCATGTTAAAAATTTATACGAATATATTCTATTGGGGATATTGTGAGAATTTAGTTTATTTTGAAACGAATAAAGGCTAAAGGCTGGCTTGGCTTTATGCCAGCCACTGCGGGACAGACAGGCAACAAGTGAAATATTGAACTGGTATAACACATTTATTATTTCGTTTACTTATTTTATAGTACAAAACATTTTTTTCAGTAAAGGCTTTAATTTATACTGTATTTTTTATTATTTTATTTTCACTACTGCCCGTATATCTATGTATATGTTTGTATATTTGTATGTTTGGTAGTATCCTAAGTGTTAATTTAAAATATGGTTTATCTATGCACCAAATTTCATACAAAACACTTTAGCCTAAATGGCTACCTCATTCTCTAAATCATTAGGAGGAGTAAATATCAAATTATATAAATATCCAAATATCATTATTCCCACTAATATTTTAAATACATATTAATAGGATGATCAAGTACCAATAATATTACTTATTCTCGTACGGAAGGACGCCCTGTACTTTCAAGAGATTCCAGGTTGCCTCCGTTGTACATTATATGATGATACAGTAAATTTTTATATGTAAGTATATTATATTTTAAATTTTGGTATTGCTGTAATGGAAGATCTGTCAAAATCTTCTAAAGATATGACAGGAATTAGCAACACTCGAATGATAATTTACGATGTAAAAAAGAGAGACTGATATAAAGTACTATATAATATAAATAATCCTGTAGTTGGGATTAAAAAACATTTAGGCAAAATTTGTGTATGCGCGCGGCTTTTAATGAATGATAATGAACTCTGGCCTGATAGGGTATATTGCGATGGTATAGCGCGCAATGGGGTATCTGCGAACACATCATTATTGACAAATTCCTCTTCCCCATATCCTATCGATTTGATTGGAGTACAGACACCATTACAATAATACCTTTCTGTACTATGACACTAGATGACGTCACTTATTAAATTAAAACACATAATTTTTTAAAATATATTTTGTTGCTAGTAACATCAATTTTAAAATACAAGACTGCAGTCGATGCTTCTTCTTAGAAGTATGGATTTTAGCCCACTTCATATGTTTTTACTGTATTGTTCTACTTTAAGTTCGTGTATACTATACCGTGTAGTCCCGGCGTAGAATGACCTAACTTTTCCTTTTCCGTGGGTGTCGTAGGAGGCGACTAAGGGAGAAACTAAAAACTACTGGCAAAATCCTCCTAATGGTAAACTATCTTGTGTGTGTATGTATGAATGTATGTATGTGTATGTGTTATATTATTATATGTATTACACCTCCCATATTTAGAACTAACAGAATTTCAATTTCATCTTGCCTCCCACCAAATTGTTTATAATTACTCCTCTCCATCCAAAGGCTGCCTGGCAGAGATCGCTCTTAGCGATCAGGTCGCCCACTGTTTTCTCATTGTGATTATATCTTGTAATTATTTATAATAAGTTTACTATTGTAATCTTTTGGAGGAAACTATAAAGAGTATCTATCTATATGACAGTCTATAGGTGAGGCCAGTGTTCAGCAGTGGACAAATAACGGCTAATATGATGATAATGACGTGGGGGGGGAAGGGATTGTTAACAATGGAGCTTGACAGTCCCATTGCTAGCAATATGCCCTATTAGGTCGATCTCCACGAGGTTCCCCTTGGAAACCATCGTGATTAATCTTGTTGAATTCGTCACGATGGGCTAACTGACCTGTTTCATCCTCATCTATCATCCTTCACTGGTACCCCACCAGTGTATACCGATAGCGCAGGTGGAGTTACCATTCCATTATCATCCAATAAGAATAATTAACCAATAAGGACGAAATTGTTCGAAATAAAAATTATTGTTAGTATTAAGTTGGCTCTGATATATTTAACAATTTCAATAATTTTAAAATATTATTTCTGCAACAGAAACCCATAATAAATACTCAACAAATTCCATTCAAGAAATAAAAGTGATATTATTATTCCTTAGGAGTCATAAAGGAAACCTCAGAATGGCCATTTTATAGCGCAAAAGCTCTACGTACTTTTATTGCCTGTTTGCTCTTGGTTTACTTTCCCGCAATAGATTGTTTGGGTATATTAATTTACTAGTTGTAATCCACTGCTTTGCTTACGTGAGTTTCATTAAACTATCCTATACACCTTGGTGTGTTTAAATATATATATCTAGTGTATAAGTATGCCGTGTAGTTTCTGCATAGATTGGCCTAACACTTCCTTTCCCATGGATGTCATAGGAGGCAACTAAGAGTACCTAGTGATCGAGAGATGGGCAGCAGCGTCCCTTTTAAAATATCACTAAAGCCTAATTGCGGTTGCCAACCCGCCTGCCAAATATGGCAACTATTGGTTAAACCTCTCTTATGGGAGAGACCTGTGTTCAGCAGAGGACAGTTAACGGCTGTTAAAACATCTGTACAAAGTTTTACATTTTTAATATAATAACAATTATGGTAATCTGGAAAAGGCCGGATTTTACCGGAATCCATTTCCAGTGTTATTTTCACTGTAAAGGTATAAGTGCTAAAATCGTGAGTACCGGGGGGAATGGGGTTTTAGTAATTAGGTTAAACAGCCTCATTGCTGGCAATATACCCTCTCAGTTCGATCTCCATGTTGTTCTCCCTAGAAACCATCGTGGTTAATTCATGATGAATTCGCCTAATTGACCTAACTCATCCTCTTTTATCATCACTCACTAGTGCCTCGCCAGCGTATACTGATAGCACAGGGAGACACCCATCATCATCAACTAATAAAAAATTAAGAAAAACCGTATCAAATTTTTTACCTACCTTTAAAAAGTAAGAGATTCTCTATTCGGTATTTTTTTAATGTTTGCTACCTCATAACTGTTTTAGTTGTGAACTAATTTCGATTTTTTTTTATATATAATTTTAATTTGATGTATAAATTATAGAGTGCGTTCAGTAATTTAGTTTATAAATCAAAATAACTAGTTTTACCACAAAAAGTAGTTTTTTTTTTTTTGTGGAACACACTTATATTTATTACCTTATTCTTCTTAATCGCTTTCAATATTAAATAGTTTTAATGCATTACTTGTACCAAACATTTTTTTGGAAATGAAATTAATAAAGATCAATAAATTAATTAATAGTTCACAATAACTATAAATACCTCAAGATATATATTAACGCAAGAAATTAGATTTATATGAAAGCTAAGCGTGTTACTGCTAAATTAGTTCCCATAGTGTTACAAAAGCTAATTATTCATAGTAAACCGCATTAAACTTTACCGAAAACGTCATCTATAGTATTGTTTGTTGTTTTTGTTAGTCTTCTAAACTTATTTAGCATAAATTTTATGTAGGAACACCGCATCGATATTTAGGCGGAGTTAATTGGGTTTTATCGTGCTAACTTGAGGGCTAAACTGATTGAAATCATACAAAGTACATGAAGTTAGGATATTTAGGTATTTAAATCAATATCTGTGATCGCGTTTAAAACTAATTAAGTGATATAATGATAAACGATGCATGTTACAAAAATCTTAAGATTAGATCAAAAGGACTATTAATTTTATATGTATATACTTTAATATATATAAAAGAAGCAGTAAAAGGTGTTCCTTATCAGTACTGAACATTCCGAGACATAAACAATACGATACACCTGGGACCAGTTTATTGCTTTGTGAAATATGTTTTGTGTACTATATACTTAACTACAACGTACATATTTACCTCTTCCATTATATTTAAGTATATTGTAGTCGATTTTTTTATTTTATTTTAATTTGTAATATATATATATATATATATATATATATATATATATATATATATATATATATATATATATATATATATATATATATATATATATATATATATATATATATTTCTTTAACAAAAATTTGTATTTGAATGTCATAGTAGATACAATAATTTCATACAGTACATAAAATATAAATTAAGTTAAGCATAAAACAAATATATTTCTTTAACAAGTAGTCAATATAAACACCTTATCATATGTGAAATAAAAAATACATTTTGTTATTAGGATCTCTATTTATTTACTTACTAGCCGTATCCTGCAGATTTGCCTACGTGAATTAGTACATAAGATAGTCTACCCATCTATGAAATATCATTCAAACACGGCCAGCAATTTATCCATCGGTACAAAATTTCCCTTTTATATTATTAATACGATTAATTGAGCCAGTGATTTCATTCGCATGGTCATCCAAATTAATTTATAGTAAATAGATTTTGATCTACAAGAAACAGAATATATATTTAGAATAGAATCGTATCTACAATTAATTTTTTTATTTGCAAATAAACTGCAGTTCGTCACAAAATAATATGGAACAAACACGGGAGTAAATCCGGTTTACTCTCGTGTCGGTTCCATATTGATTTTAAAAAGTATTATCAGAATCGATACAGAACTGGCGACGTAATCGCCTGACATGTCTATGCAAAAGTGAAATTACAAAATTAAAATTGTGTTTCACGAAAAAAACATTTTAGTTTTTACATATTGAACGACGTAAACTACTTTTTATCTTGGCCTATTAATTTGAACCGGTTTGAGGTAATTCCGGACGAATGAACATATGTACATACGAGTATAAACTGAATATTTGCTGTTTGTATAATATCGATTTAATATAAGTGTTATTTCAATTCAACGAGTATTCGTTGATTCCGAACAATTATATCAGTATTATTTCAGAGCGGATTTCACGAAT